AGCCAGATCTACCCAAATTATGCCGACTGGTGTAAGAATAAACCAAGAACGTTAACCGTTACACATTTGCGTGTTTTGTTGCCATCAAGAGCAAAAGACGTGATGAATGCTGAGCTTGCCGGGCAGAGACTCCGGCATCTATGAGAAAAGTCCCAAATCCGGGGAGGAGGAGAAGAAGAAGAAGGTTTGCTTGTTGGTTCCTTTACAGGACGAAAGCAAGACCGGCGATGGCAGCGGCCACACCGGCGAAGGTCTTCTGGGCGGCACCGGCGGTGACAACGGGGACCTCAGGCTTGGAGCCACTGCCAGTGGTCTCAGGAGTCTCAGGCTTGGAGCCAGTGCCAGTGGTCTCAGGAGTCTCAGGCTTAGCAGGAGTCTCGGGAGTCTCAGGCTTGGCGGGAGTCTCAGGCTTAGCAGGAGTCTCGGGCTTGACGGGCTTGGAGGGAGTCTCGGGCTCGGGGACGACGACAACAGGGGGCTTGCCGGGGGTGACGGGCTTGGGAGGGGAGACAGGCGTGGTAGGCTTGACGGGAGGGTGGACAGGCTCGCACTCGCCCTTGGAGCACTTCTCGTAGGTGTAGCAGTCGTCCTTGCACTCATCGAAGTACCATCGGTCCTCATCGACGTCACAGACGAACTTGCGAGCGTAGTCGACAGAGTAGTGCTGGTCACGCTGGCACTCGTTGCCGTAGCAGACGATGCGCTGGTTGCACTCATCACCGGTGTAGTCGGCGTAGTGGCACTTTCCGCTGTTGCAGATCTTGAGCTGGCTCCAGGTGTCGTCGTGGCATTCACGAGGAGCGCAGAGGCCATCCTCACAGACGATCTGCCACTTGGTGCAGGTAGGGCAGTGGACCTGAGGAGCACAGTAGTTACCGTAGCAGATGATGATGACATCGGTGGGGATGGCGGGGATAACAGTGGTGACGGTCTGGGTGACGGTGGTTCCGTCCTCAGTGAAGGTGACAGTGGCAGTGGTGGTGACAGGAGGGAGGGTCTCGGTGACGAAGTCGGTGTTGATGACAGTGTCAGTCTCACCGGGGTTCACACCGACGGCGACATAGACGGAGAGGAGGACGTTGACAGCGACCTGTCGGCGCATAAGGCGATCGCCAGAAGAGAGACCACCACAGTTCTCATCATCATTGCCAGGGCAAGTGATGTCACACTGATCAGTGTTGACAGAAGGAGAGGTGGAGAGGTCAAGCTCGCTACCACAGTAGCAGCTGTTGTCGTAGAGACCGAAGAAGTTGGAGCCCAAGCAAGCATCGGCACAACGCTCAGAGTCGTTCTCCTCAGAGGAGTAGGCCTGAGTGAAGCCAGGGAAGCCGTTCTCAGAAGAGAAGCATCCGAGGAAGTTGAAGCCGTCAGGGTTGCCAATGCCGCCAGCGGATGTGCTGGTAGCGGCACCGGAGGTCTCAGTGCCGGTGACATCGGTGCCAGTGGTGGCAGTGCCAGTCTCAATGGCTCCGGTGGTGGTGTTGGAGAAGCGGCCAGTGGTGAACTGGGCAGCGGCCAAGTTGCCCATGGCCAGGGCGAGGAGCTCGGTGTAACGCATTTTGGATGGTGGTTCTTTAGAGCGAATGACTGGGGTGTGTAACGACTGGAAACAGCTCTCGGAAGAGAAGCGAGGGAATCGAGGATGTTTGAGTTGCTTGATGATGAGAGAAGGAAGAAGTTGAGCTTTGGACGGAATCAAGCCCTCTCTTTATACATGATCTGGGTCCCCTTGCCTTGGGGCTGAGATTGTATGGGATCCTCCTAGGACCACAGACTAAGCCTCGCGCCGATAGTCTGTCTGGTCCTCGACGAATGCATCGAGCCCCCAAAGCAAACAAGTCCAGAGTGCTGTACTGTGACTGTTGAGACATGGCGTTCCCGTCCAACAAGCAAAGAATGCAGTGCCCCTGACTTGACGTGTCTCACTTCCACTCCACACTCTGAAGAGCTTGTTTGGGCCCCAAAATCCCCGCTGCTTGAGAATTTGGCTCTACAGCACCTCGGGCTGTAAGATTACTCTAAATTCCAGATGCTAATACTGATAGCCTCTATCTCACTTGTTAATATGTGAGGCTGCTGACTCGGTATTCTGCTGAGACACTCATCCCAATGCCGTGGCCTACCCTCCTTCAAAGGAGTGATTTCACATGTATCGAAGTACTCTGGATTCCTCCATGTTCTGCCGCTTCTTGGATACCGACGGCCCATCGGCATCAGATTGATAGCCAAGAAATAATTTCTCCGCATGCGCGCGACCCATTCCTGGATGCGTCAAAAAAAAAGAGCACTTGCTATCAGAGCACACTTTCTCACAAAGGTTCCCCTCACGTAGGATCTGGCAGATATGTGACGATCGTCCAATCTCCATCACCCAAGAATGTACGTCATTGGTCACCAGAAATAGGCAAAGCAATATCTGGTGTGTTTTGTGGCTCCTCCAAAGGCGACTATACTCGCTTGAGTATCACTCCCATGGCGTTTTCAGCGTTTGGAACTTGAGAACGGACAAGGCAAAAGATCAACCCTGTTTCGAAACCGTTTACATATCAGACCCCTCCCTCCCTTCGGCCGGATGCGAGCATTCTTTAGCACAATCCGGGGAAATAGGTTCTTCCATATCTCGAAAGCATTTGGCTATGAGTGTTTTGTTTTGTTTTGTGTTTCTCGTTCATGTCCACAAGATCGAGACATTAGATTATCCATCCCGGAAGCTAATAGATGATCCACAAGAGGGAGATTGCGTTCGTGAGAAGTGGAAGAAAGGCTGGTCTTACCAAGGGAGAGCTGAAAGCTGGTATGAGACATGAATCAAGTCTGACTTGTTGTGTTATGCGGGCCGATAGTTTTTGCGGAGGCCGTCCGGGTGGGGTCTAGGGTAGTTTTCGACAGTACAACTCTTAAGTTCATGACACTTCAACAACGGGAAATGATCAGGAAATGGCTCAAAATAATGGAGATTTTTGTCAAAGCTGATATTGATTTCGACGTTTTTGGCATCGCCAAGCTTAATCTAAGTTTACTACTGAGGGAAGAGCTATAGCTGAAGCTTGAAGTTCTCGTATAACCTTGTAAGAAAATATCACTGGAATTCACGGCTCGTATCAGAGACCAAACTTCAAATACTGATTGGGTATAGCTCAATACACTTTCCAGTAGTCTGTAATTCTCCCCTAATCCACTTCTTGCTTGGCGATAACTGACTTACATCTACTAAATATCAGTAACTCCACAGTAGATCCCTTGGATGCAACTCATCCAAGGAAGCATGTTAAGCTTGAGTTGACATGGGTCACTCTGATAGCCTAAACAAACCGGCGTTCGGTAGTCTCGGAACCTCGCCAGAGCCCTACGACGATAGCCTTGTCTGTTTCCGGAGCTTACACACTGATACTAACCAGTCGAGTCATACAATCACTTGACGGTTCTTGATTGATAACATGGTGTTGATGACCTTTCTATGACGTGAGGAGAAGCTTTAGCTATCGCACTCGTTCCAAAGTCAATTGACGCTTGAGGCGATAATATCAGGGAACTCCTTTCAGTATCGTCACTCTCCGGATCAATCGTTGCCGTGCCAAGTCATTGATATTGCAATCATGTACTACAAGATTTCATGCAAGGTGCGAAACACCCTAATTTGTGCCTCTGTTACACAACAGCATATCAGTATACTGCAAAGCTCCTTGTTCCTGACGATCAAATTAACGTGTGGCAACGTTGCGCCTTGTATGTTTGATCACCAAATGCAATGCTAAAATTGGAAAGCCAAGTAAAAGCTGCGACAAGAACAGGTCCTGGCGAGGAATGTTGGCAGCGCGTGCCGTTGGAGCCATTCCCGCTCCTAATCGGAGCTTATGTTAGTTCGCTATCGTAGGCAAAAGAAGAAGAAAAAAAACGCCTCACGATTCACTAATCTCCTCTGTCTTCGCTTCTGATGCCAGGGGGGGCTTTTATTTGTCGCCTTATGCAAGCCGCTTAATTTAATGGCTTGCAGAAAATTACTTAGTATCAAACTTACTTATTCGACGTGCAGGTACGAATAAAATCGTCCCATTGTGCCAAGGCTTAGCAAGGGAGATATACAATGTTTTGTGTTTTGGGTTGGCCAAATCTTACTCCCTTGCTTGCATAGTCGCACATTGAGTGTTAGTAAGTTCTTTCTTTTTCTTCGGTACGATCTAGCACTTGTGAGGCCGATCTCGATGAGACTACTGAAATGTACAAGAAACACACGTGAAATGTTGCAGGCAAGTCTTGGTTCTGCGGTATGCTTCAAGTGAGACACACGAGACTTTGCCCCTTGGCTAGTTGCTTGGACATTGTCGTTCCTGGGCTTTGAAAAGGATTGTTGCCCCTGCTTCCTTTGGATCAAAACAATTCTTATCAATAACATCAACATTGATAGCGGTAGTGTAAGCATCATCAGTTTTCTTGCCTTTGAGCAATTGACCTCACAAACTGCCCTCTCTCGTTTTCATCATGACTGACAGACATCAGGCTTCAGGTATATCTTCAAACACACGGGCCGAGATGTCATGAGCAGTCATTGCGAAGGCCATTTGCGCCTTGCCTGTCGTTACCATTCCTCGAGACTCCTTGGTGACATGCCCATATCGGCCACCTACTGAGTTGCCATACTGACTGGTCGATGTTCATCTCTATGCCTTTCTTGCCTTGCGCTGCCAAGTACACACAACATTTCATAGGCAATTCATATGTCCTGCCGCTTCAGTTCTGTTCATGATCATGGCATGAACTCCAAATATCGTAACCCTAACCCTCCCCTCATCTCAACAGCCGTGTCCATCAACCGAAGATCTGCGGAGGGGGAGGGGTCATATGGAGACATGCTACTCTCAACGCAGTCATCATTGGACCATTGATTGGCCCGGCTTTGCCTGGAGAAATACCCCATGTCATCATGCCCATGATAAAAAGAGCCATGATGGCTACTCCCGCAGCCATGAAACCGCTCAATTGACTCTCCTCGCGCTCAGAAAATGACTGTCACAAAGCTCCCCTTCCACGCCGACCACATCGGCTCTCTCATCCGCCCTGAGGCGCTGTCTCGCACCCAGGAGCAAGCCGATGCCGGCCAGGTCACTGCTGAGCAGCTTGCTGCGACGCAAAAGGCTGCTATTGCCGATATCGTGAAGAAGCAGCAGGAGCATGGAGTTCGCGCTATTTCTTCCGGCGAGTTTGATCGCAAGTACTACTTCTCTGGCTTCTTTGAGCGTCTAGGGGGTTTCCGCGAAGTTGAACCTGTTCCCTGGGATCTTGTCCGTCTCTCTGCGCCTCCCATTGCTGCACTGAAGAAGGCTGGTAAGCAGTATCCCATGGCTGCTCTTTGCGAGTCCAAGATCGAGTACAAGAAGAGCCCTTACCTCGAGAACTGGAAGATGCTCCGCGAGTGTGTTCCTCGTGAGCAGTGGGCTGAGTGCAAGTTCACCATGCCTCCTCCTTGCTATTTCCACCTGCGACTTGCCTCTGGAAAGTGCTACAGCCCTGAGGCCTACTCTAACGATGAGGACTTCTTTGCCGATTTGGCCAAGGCTTACCGTCAGGAGTTCAAGACTTTGTACGACGAGGGCGTGCGAAACATCCAGATCGATGACCCCACTCTCGCCTACTTCTGCTCCGATGAGATGCTTCAGTCTCTGAGAGACGAGGGTGTTGACCCTGACAAGCTGTTCGACACTTACCTCAAGGCTCACAACGATGCTATTGCCGACCGACCTGAGGGTCTCCACGTCGGACTTCACGTCTGCAGAGGTTTGTTTCTCACTCAATGACATTGTATCCACTCACTTACACGCCACAGGAAACTTCTCCAAGTCTATGCACTTCAGCGAGGGTTCATACGAGAAGATCGCCGAGAAGTTCTTTACCGTCCTCAACTACGACACCTTCTTCCTCGAGTACGACAACCCTCGTTCCGGCGGTTTCGAACCCCTCCGCTTCCTCCCCAAGCACAAGAACGTCGTTCTCGGAGTCATCACCACCAAGGAGCCTGAGCTCGAGGATGCCCAGGTCATCAAGCACCGCGTGCTCGACGCTGCCAAGATCATCGCTGACGGTCAGGGTCGCAGTCTCGAGGAGGCTCTTGAGCAGGTTGGCATCAGCCCTCAGTGCGGTTTCGCTAGTGTCGCTGTCGGCGCTGAGGGTATGACTGAGGAGAAGATGTTTGCCAAGCTTAAGCTTGTCAACGACGTTGCTAAGGAGATCTGGCCTGGCAAGGCTTAAAAGTTGATGTTTTCAAAAGTTGTAAAAGAAAAGAAAAGTTGTACATAGGCTTGGGGATTTGGGAGTGACTGTTGCATAGCGCGGTGTTGATCGTGGTGTTGAAATGAAAGATGAATGATGGCCCACAGCACTTTGGGTGCTATTAGGCTTATGTGCTCCTATGAAGTTGTGTCTGTGCGCATGGTGAAGAATTGGTGATGCTATCCAGGAAATATCTATCTACACAGTCCTCAACTCATTCTCGCCTGTCATAACCACACTCGACGCCTGCAACGATGCAACAATTCATACTGACATGAGTTTTTTCCAATTCTTCAGAGGGTACCCTGGAGTACTGCGACTGACAACTTCCAACGTAAACTTTATTTGGTGGTTCTCGGCATTCTTTTCCGGAAAATCATATGTTATGGTCTAGTTCAACAATTACTCGACAACCAACTGCGATAGGGCCTGAGCAGGGGGAGCGATGGCAGAATTGTCATTGGTGACTTTTAACCGTCTGAGGTACCTAGTTCTAAGGAAAGTTAGGGTATGATTTGTATGAAGACTTAATGATTCTTCAGGCGCTGGGTGGAAGACGCCTCTACAGCTGGGACGTTGAGAGCCCTATCTTCATCCAACTCCGTATGGAGGTGATTGAGCAGACATCACACTTCGATAAAAAGGCCAAATATTTTTAAGAGAAAGTTCATTGAAAGGGGTATGGGTATCCTTCCTCCATCCCGCATCTGTGTCCATCATATTACAGTGTCTAGTAAAAACTCATATGTACATGTTCGGCAATGCCATGCCGTCTATATGCAAAGGCTCATCACCCTCACAAGCTCTAGTAAATAACAAAAATCCTCCAATCTCATACCCAGTACAAGATATTCATTTTTTCAACTTCTTTCTTTTTTTACTCCTTCTTGACGGTCTTCTTCTTGAAGCTCTTCTTGGGCATACGCGCAAGCCAGTAGATGAACAGCGCAGCACCCATGTTGAAGATGATGTACACCCACAAAAGACCAAAGTTACGCCATCGGTCGGCATAGTCAATGTTGACGCCGGCGAGGTATGTGTTGGTGTACTGGACAGTGCAGAACTCGCAGTTGGAGGTGGCATCGGGATCAACGAAGTAACCGCCAACAGCCTTGATATAATCACCCATGTACTCATTACAGGTTGAACCGTTGGGTGGTGTGATGGGTACGAGTTCGTTGCTGGCGCAGGTGACTTCCGTATTGGCGACACCTGTTGCTAACATGCCTCCGACTAGATATGTGAACGGTGACACGTAGTACATGAACTTCCAGAAGCCGGGTAGAGTTCCCTTGGGAGCGAGGACACCACAGAAGATCAGGCAGAGCATAAACAGCAGGTTAGCAACGTTGGCACCACCCTCGGCTGTTTCGAATCCGGCAATGATCATAGTCGAGAAGGTAGCGGTAAAGATGAGGAAAGCCAACAGTAACAGGAACATGAGGGCACCACGTTCGGTAGTTTGACCGGCATCGGCAGCGTTGTTGTAAAGACCGACAGGGTAATACCAGCCAAAGAACATGATGACCGCCATCAAACTATTCCAAGGCAATTCGACGATAATCTGCGCTAACATGAAGATCTTCCATGAGTAGACCTTGGAAGGACGCTCACGAACCTCGTAGAGGGAACGCTGAATGACGAATTGGGGCATAGACTGTTGTACTAGTTGACCGAAGATAGTGAGCAAGTTGAATATGGCGAACATCTGGTTCTGAAGACCCTGGATACTGTTGGGGGCTCGGAAGAAGACGAAACCGATGAAGAGAGCGACGAGAGAGCAAAGAGCAGCCTTGGAGTAGATATAAACGGGAGTACGCCAGTACTGTTGGAAAACACGGAAGAGGACCTCCTTGAGTTGAACCATGAAGGGAGCAGCGAACTCACGGTAGCTACCGTCATCGACATCAGTATCCTCAACGCCCTGCTTCTCTCGCTTGATACGCTCGAGTTCGGCCTGGACATCCTGATATTCGGGGCTGTCGCGCCAGGTCTGGAACCAGTCGAGTTCGGTGTGAGATCCGGGAGCAGCACCAATAACTTCCAACATCCATTCAGCAGGGTTAGCCTCAGGGGGGCAGGCATGTCCACCGTAACGCTCAAAGTAGCTGGTCATGGTCTTGGAGTTCTCGCCGATATCACCAAAGTAGACAGTCTTGCCACCCTTGGCCAGGAAAAGGAGTCGATCAAAGCGTTGGAACAACATGGCAGAGGGCTGATGAATAGTGCAGAGAATAGCTTGGCCGGCGTTTGTCAACTTCTCAAGAAGGTCCAAGATAGCCCAAGAGGTTTGAGAATCGAGACCAGATGTAGGCTCATCAACGAAAAGCAACAGAGGAGGCTTGGCAGCAAGTTCGACACCGATAGTAAGACGCTTACGTTGCTCGACGTTGAGACCTTCACCAGGAACACCAACCACGGCATCGGCATATTCTTCCATATCAAGGAGCTTGATAACCTGTTCCACATAGTCGAGCTTCTCCTGTTTAGGGACGTGAGCGGGCTGGCGTAGAAGAGCACTGAAGTTGAGGGCCTCTCGGACTGTCGAGGTCTGGAGATGGAGATCCTGTTGCTGAACATAACCGGTCTTGCGCTGGAAAGACATGTCTCGAGGGTTACCATCGACCAACATCTCGCCTGTGATGACACCCATAGAAGTACGGTCGGCCAAACAATCAAGCAGAGTGGTTTTACCAGCACCAGAAACACCCATAAGGGCTGTCAGGGTACCAGGCTTGACCCAACCATCGACATTATCCAGAATCTTACGGGTTTCGTCCTTGATCTTGACCTCATAGCAGACATCATGCCACTGGAAGACCGAGGTCTGTTCCTGGAGCATACCGCCATCCTTGTTGGTTCGGCTTCGAGTGCGTTCAGCAGTGACAACGGGACCAATGTGAGCCATAGCAGCCTCCGGGTCGCTATGCTTCTTCTCAGCATTGGCAACAGCAGCAGGCTTGTGGCCGCGTCGGTAGACCAGGACTTCACCCTTGGACTTCTTCTCAGAAACGAGTTCGGCGGCAACCATGTAGGTGAAGGTGAAAAGAATGATCCATGCGATGACGATACCAAAGTTGCGCCATCGGTTCTCCCATTTGTATCCAAACTGCATCTCGGCGTATCGGTCACCATTCACGGCAGCTCTTCCAGGTTCAGCTCCAACAGCACTGCACACCCGGTTCTCCGATGCAACATCTCCGTATCCAGCAACTGAAGGGTTAGGAACGAACTCGTTGCAAGTGTAGTCTCGGTTGTGGAATTCGTTGACAACGACAGCCTCGAAAGCATAGGCGATAGGGTCGATCCAGTACAGCCATTTGCACCATCCGAGCATATAACGTTTTGGAATGACGAAGCCGGTGAAAATGACAAGATCCAGAATGAGGATGGCGGCGGGGACAAGAGCCTGGAACAAACTGCGAGTAGCCGACGCAATGGTACGGAAGATCATGGACATGACCAAAACCACAACGAAAGACATGAGGATGAAGAAGAAGAAGGCTCCTGGCTCGCGCTTTAGGTTTGTCATGAAATAAAGCGTAATGTTGAAGACGATCGTATTGGCGATTTTGTACGGCATGTCGCATAACATCGAAGATATAGCTTCTGCAGACGGATGATATAATGCATAACGACTGTGTTTTTCAACAATTGGACGTTGCGCGTACAGGGCCAGAATCTAATACTGTTAGTGTTGATCACAAATAAGATTTGAATGGGCTTACCTCGAGAGCACTTGCGAAAGCGTTCATCAAAACAGCAAAGAACAGGAGAGCACCACGCTGGAAGAAACTGCTCGAAGTTTCATCCAGGTTGAAGAAGACGGAACCGATAATAAGAGCCATAACGAAGTTACCAATAAGAGAACCAACAGTGATACCGGGGTCACCCTTAAGTCGCAGCCATCCACGCCACAAACAAAGCTGAATTTGCTGGGTGTAGGAGAGAGTGTAGGGGGACTTGGCACGCTGTCTCTTAGCCTGCTGAGCTTGCTTGGAGGCACGGAAAGCCTCAGCGTCGGGGCCGTTGATGGGATGAGCGACCTTGTAGTCCTCAATCTCAGCCTGCAGAGCCTTGTACTCGACGCTGTTTCTCCAAGCAGTAGCAAACTCATCAGGGGTTCGAGGAACCTTGCCCTTGAAACCATCACGTACAATTCGCTCGTTAGGAGCAGTCATGGAAGTGAGGAAATCGGGAGTGGTCTGGCGAGCAGGGCACTCGAAACCCAGGTTGATAAAGTACTGCTTAGCAGCATCGGCACGGCCAAAGAAGATTTGTCGGCCCTCGTAGATGACAGTGGCCTTGTCAAATAGGTCATAAGCGCTTTGAGGCGACTGGTAGATGGACACAACAGCGGTGTTGTTGAAAAGCTCGGTTTGAAGACGGAGGGTCTTGCAGAATTCGATGGCGTTGGCGGAGTCGAGACCTCGAGTTGAGTTATCCCAGCACTGCAGAGGAGCACCAGACAAGGCAGCCTCAGAAATGGTAACACGCTTGCGCTCACCACCCGAGACACCACGGATGTACTCGTTACCGACGCGGGTATTCACGGTGTGAGAAATACCAAACATAGCCATGACAACATCTCGGAGGTGATCGGCAAAGTCGTTTCTGTTCAGGCCCTGGGGAAGCTGACGGGGCTGTCGAGCTCGGGCAGCGAATGTGAGGGTATCGCCAACAGACAGCATAGGGAAATGAACATCAATCTCGGCGGTGTAGATAGCCTCACCACGGTGGTGGGAGTGCATCTCCTTGGCGGTCATACCTGTGGCACATTATGTTAGAGATACTGGTTACTTGAGCGCATGTAAGTACGAGTTGTGTTGCATGCGACAAGCCCATTGCCGATCGCAACAAAAGATCTAGTCTCGTGAAACCAAAACACCCATTTTGCGCGAAATTTGCAGTTCGACTCACCTTGGTAGTTGAAGTAAGACCCCTCATCAACGTAGATACCGTTGAGTTCACCAGCGATGGTTTTGAGCGTGGTGGAGCAACCAGCACCGGGAGGTCCAAGAACGACAAGCATTTCGCCCTTGTGCACAACGCCATCAAAGTTGCGCAGAATATCAATGCGCTGTCGCTTGCGACCAGTGACTCTTCCAACGAGGTCGCTCAGAGAGAGCCACACATTTGCGACATCGCCCTGGTAATCGCTAGCACCACCATAACCGTAAACATTGAGGTTCTGGTAGCAAACACCAGCAGATCGGAAATTAGCGCCGTCTTGGTGAACTAATTCCACAACGGACTTCGCCCATTCGCGAGCGTTGAAGTTGGGAGAGTTGGGGTTCAGAGGTGAATCCTCGCCAGCCTGGAAAGGATTCTGTCCGTTGGGGTGGGTACCAGAGACATGCGAATAAGACCGAGCGAGGGCCTGAACAATAGAGGTTCTTCGCTCCATCTCTGAGTCTTCGTCTTCCTCATCTTTACCTAAAGTGTCAGCAGGTGATGATGAGGGCTTCTCGTTAATCGCTTCGTCGTCGGTGTGCTTGTCAGCAACAGGCACATTGTCACCAGTTGAGCCTGCGCCTGGAGCACCCTGCCTTACAGCAGTGGCGTCGTTGTTGGCGTTGATCCCGTAGAGCGCCGACATGGTGAATTGTGACGGCTGAATCTACTTGGGATTCTCGCAATTGAGTTTCGTGGTGGTGAGTGATACCCCAGTGACTGCAGGATTTCGTATCTCGTATCGGAGTTATGAGTTGGGTGTGGAATGCTGTTTAACATGCGAATTGGTAGTCGAGTATATAGAAGACAAACCAATTCAAACACAACAAAAGAAAAGGTATTAAAAGGTTGGTATTAAGGATCGACAATGAATAGACAGCCGATCGCAAGGGAGTAAGCAGTCCCTGAGGCGTGTAAGAAAGAGGACCCTGGACAACGCAAGACAAAACAAAACAAAACAGGAGGGAGGTCAGGAGAATATGTAAAATATGAATGAGCTCTCACTGTCACTTCGTCATGTCCGTCCGTCGGTAAGCTAACCTAACAGAACGAGCAGATGGATGGAGATAAACTCGCGTGGATCGTCCAAGCAAAGGTCCACCTGTCGACTAAGCCCGAAACTGAAGGGTAGACGACAAGGGGTGTGCACGCCCAGCTACCTCAGGTAGGTAATTCTAGCGCAGCTTTTAGAAGTGCAGGCGGGTGCGGCTGCAAGCCTCAGTAGGGGTTGTTTCTCGCTACCCGGGTTGGTTACTGGCTGGGCTGTCAACGATGCACTGGCGGCCGCTCCAAGTACCTACCTCGCTTTCTAGGTAGTGATTGCTGTATTTAACCTCTTTTCTTCGCTTTCAAACTCAAACTGACTCAAGATATCGCCATGATATTCCCAGTCTTCAGTCCGTAACAGGTGATCATACTCGTCAATGTGTCAACGCTGCCACAAAGTCCGCAGCTCTTATCCACTGCGCCTCTTCATCTCTCCGGCATTAAGAAACAATTTGCCCTTTCGCACACTACCAACAACCCGACCCGATACGCAATGACAATTTAGGCAATCGTAGAGGGGTGCGCTGTTCTGGCAAAACATGAATACAGCGCCTGAAAGTGAGGGTGAGAGGGACAATTCTTGGCGGATAACGGGTGCCTTCAAACTCCGACACTCCAGGCCATTTAAGCGAGAGAGGATCCCGGGAATGGGAGCGAATTGCACACATGCCCCACTACTAACTCCACGCTCTTAGTGCTCCTACCCCTGGATGCCATGTTATTCGTCGTATTGCACTCGCATAGCAATGATTCTGACTGGTAGCGCAGATGTGAGCCATTGTGATTTAACATTGCGTTAGAGGCTCACCTAAGCCATAATCATGATAATTCGACTCTCTGGTGATCATCAAACGGTCAGTATTGGTTCTTGAATATTCGCATCCGACCCTCTCTTGAAACACGACACTGGACTCTGGAGAACTCTATCTCGACTAACACAGCTAATCTCATCTTCTACCACGCTGCATCAAACCCTATTTGTCGCGCTTGTTTATCCACCAAGAGCCCTACAAGATCTAGCAGATGATCATATCGTCTCCCCTTGTAAGGAGCAGTGATCAGAAACTGTTATTTCCAACAAGGACAGATCTCTCCGATCTTCTCCGCAAAGATAAAAAACTTTGTTTCGATATCCCAACTTCAAACAGGTTGCGAAACCGCGTATTCATCATTCGGGTCGTTGCAAAAACCCGTCGGCCGATAGCCAATTACTCACGTTACAGCGGATGGAAGATCCCCCGGTAAGACGCCTCTGATTGGACAATGCGCTTCATGTTGGTGGTGACAGTCTCACGTATTCGAGTTCTCTATCGGAAAATGCACTCCCTTTTGTCTGAGCCTTTTTTTTCCCCTTCTCGCCAAACGATCTGACAGGATAGCTAATTCTCATAAAGCTTGGCCGTCAGCGCCAGGATTCTTGTTGATGATTTAGATCCATCGAGAAACACCAACGCACGGCTAATGTTCGTCGTTAGTGGTAGCGTGAGCTTACTCCGTATTTCTATCGGGGTCTTCCAAGGACCCGACAGCCCGTCCGCACCCCCGTCCACACGGCCCGCTAGTCAGCTTGAAATGTCAAAGGCTTTTTCAGTAACTGAATCAATTTTGACCCCTTTGTTCCCATTGTGGGGTGACTACGATCCTTGACGAGACTACAGTAGTGATGACTCTGTCTTCTGTTGCAATCGAACCTACGCGTATATCAAGTAGGAGTTTTCTTGCTTCCTAGTGAATGCTAAAAATTGATGGTTTTTTGCCTCTTATGGCTAGTGACAGGGGAGCATACGAGCAAGTTCTTTCAACGATGCAGCGTGTAAAGCAACATGTCGCAAATAAGTCTATCTAATATGATATTCATCTCGCTGACGTGTTCAACTTGAACAAACATGGCATGAAAAGACCTGAGTAGGTACCTTGATGCATGTTCAAGCCGTAACAGAAGTCATTTCTAGATAATTCTATTAGATCGGCACAATCGAGATCCGATCACGCTTGACGATCATGTCTCATTTCCAGCCCATTGTTACCTTGGAAGTTGGCACTCAACTTCTGCCCGCAAACTCTCTCTGCATGCTACGCTGAGAGTTTATATCCGATCTCAATCGGCTTAACTCCGTACAAAGAAAATACAACCTCGAATCTTCTGAAACTTGACAACTATTCTGCCATCTCAACCTCAATCTCTGACTGAACCCATGGTGCCACGGAATGTTGAGACCCATACGTCTAATTACACCTCACACCACGCGCCACGAATCCGAAAGCGACTTTTGCGACCGTAAGATGAAAAAGACCCTCAAATCTTACACCATTCAACGGTCCCTGCAGGCCCAACGTTCCTCAAGCAAGGGCTTGGCCGATCATTAATGAGTGAGGTCCACTACAAAGTCCGCTCCGCATCGTGAATGTGCTCCAATGTGCTCAACACGCAAGCTGCGCATGCTAGTGTCAAGCCATAAGATTTTAAACATTGCGATACGTCTTTGTCTTACCCTGTGATTGATACATCATATGCAGGTAGACGATGCAGGGGTAAGAAGCTGACCGGATAATGTTCGTCCGTAAGCCATTGGCCGCGTGTATGTTACTTACTGCAGAATGCGCTCAGTGTGAATGCGTGTGCTGTCATGGTATTTTGGCTGTTCGCTAAATTAAATGTTTCCGGGTTGAATCCTTCGGAGACTTATATGGACATTTTGTGTTGTCCGTGATAAGTTAACCAAGACTCAGCACAACGCGTCACAGCCCACAGGAAGATGAGCAGCTGAGTGATTGAAACACGAAAGCTAACATAAAGATTTTCTGATAAATGAATAAAAGGACTTTCAGCCAGGATTCTTGGGACGGGTTTATTGACAGCTTCGTAGTGCAGGTTGGTGTTTTGTAACGGCATGGTGTAGTATCATGTTCGAAACCACAACAATTGGCAAGCTCTTTCAACCATATATCCTGCGATTGTATTATTTCCGCATGTGTGTAAACTGGACCGGGGGAAATGTGGTCATGTTCCATAGCAACATCCTGTAAACCTGAACCTACGTAACTCCCTAACTCGATGTTTTCACGACATATCACAACAGACCACAAAGAAACATAAAACTCAACACCATGTATGGATAATATTTTTGATATAACATAATACAAAAATAGTACATCCATATACGTACATAGGTAGATACCTACCTGCTCCTTAGGAAGGTTTGTCTCATCGTATTCATTCATTCCCAGATCAACATTAGAGTTTCTCCTATTACCCCTGGTAGATTGTTCTCCTCTGCGGAGTACTATATTGGGAGTACTGTAACTGAGATAGTCTAATAGAAGTGTTATTCTAGCTGTATTAATTGTATCTTGGCTCACTCTGGTGACTAATAGATGTAGAGTTCTGGTTGTTCCCGTTATCTTTTGGGAGAGCGTTATAATTTCTGCGCTTGGAAGGACTGTTTGTTATTTGTGCTTAGGCTGTTGCGCTTTCTTGTGTTTGTTGGAGTTGAGACATTGCCACGGCCTGGCGGGTGAAATTTAGATGAATCTCCTCGTACACTGTAGAAGCTCCCGTAATGCAGACAGCCCTCAACATAAAAAAAACGGCCAAAAGGCCCATAGAAACAGTCACGAAAAACAAGATACTAGAAGGTCATAAATGCCAATATGCCAGATAGGTAGGCATAGGGAAATAAGTTGCAGGTTAGGATGAAAAGCTTATCGTCGATGTTGAAAGGAACTTTTGCCTGTCTTTGTTTCATGGCCTTAGCTGCCTTCTCCTCTTGACAACCAGCGGAGGGCGAGGCTGCGCCGCCAGATGCGAAATTTGTTGTACGACTTAAGAACAACAAATATGCACTGTCTAAGAAGCTCTCGATTGGGAACTTTTGTGAATGCCCGGAATATTCCTCCATAAAACATCTACCTACTGGGAATAACTGCACGCCTCTAAGGCAGAACATATAAGTGAAACTTCATAAGAACGTGTTTCGTTTATCCTAGAAACATCCAGCTAACCTAGAGCCGCAATAACGTCAAATCCACCTATAACAGAAACAATATCTGGCCTGAAGAATGACGTCTATTTAATTTCATAACCGTGGAAACTCTGTCGGAAGTTATTATGTAAAATACCATGATTCAGCAATCAATCATAATATATAATTTTTTCATTATAGAAAGCTAAGATTTAATAATTCGTATAATTTGTGTGAGTTTCTTGATATACCAACGTCCGTGTTGGAACTGAGAAGTGAGATTTATCTATACTTCTAGGACCCGACTACTCCCTAGACATGTCATTGGAATGAACTTATTATATTTTAAGTTCTGGTATGTCTATGTAATGGAAGACGGCCTAACGTAGCGCGTTAGGACTTACTGTCGAGGCTGCTAAAACGTAGAATAGACAAACTTCCCAGCCTCCAGGCATTGGGGAGCAAGAAAACACCAGACCTCAATATAAGGTATCATAAACTTAGCAAAAGGCATCTAAAATTTCTACCCAAATTTATGCTCAATTTATGATAGTTTACCTAAATCTTTTGTCATTTAGGGTCAAGGTCTTGAGTTTTCTTTCCTCCCCCAGCAGGGCAACTAGCAAATCGCGAAAGCAAAGATAACCGATAACCACACGAATTGGCATCTAAACCACAGAAGCTTCACCGGTGATATCATCGGGGACAAATCCGGGGGCTCGGACAGGGATAGTATCGATCTTGTCTTTGATCCAGTTTCCGCCCAGCGTCTGATCCTTTTCAAAAGTGTCCCAGATACGATGAACGTAGGCTTCCAAAGCGACCACCCACACTTGCTACTTCTCATCGCCTTCTGCCAGACGTGGACGAGAGTTGTTCATCCATTCGCGAACTTGAGCCTATATCTATTAGCGATAAGGGACAGAAACATTAGGTTTCAAACTCATACTGGGTTATTCAAGGGCCGAGGCCCATTCTGGAGTGCCAGGAGTTGTCGGCGCTGCAAAACATGCGGTCTGTATCGGCTAGCATTCTCTGGATTATTCTTTGTCGAATTGATGTTGTATTGCTTTCCATGGGCCTTGAGAATAGTATCGAAAGCTGTCCAGACATCCAAGACTACTGCGACGAGATGGACGCGGCCAGTAGGATTGATATAATGATGCCACTGATCACCAGGCGCCATGTCGCCTAGGCCAGCAGGATCATCTCTCAAAGTCCAGGAGCATCTGGACATGCGCAGTGAGCTTATGAACATCAGAGCCATTGCCGGAGAGGAGTTCATAGACCCTAATTAGGCTAGATTTCATTACGAAATGGTCAAGAGTAAAGAGCTTACAAGTCGTAATAGCTACCACCATTGACATCGCAAGAGAGACATCGGGAGCTAGAAGAAGCGCCAAATGCACAGTTAATCGGGGGTATCGGGAGGCTTGTGGGAGGCAGGCTTTCTCATGCTTTAGTTAGGGAGCAAGAAAATATAAGCATTTAGAAGAGGATACTAAAGTAAACTTGGTCAAGACTCCCCTAAACTCAGACTAAATTGTCTAAGTCTTTTCATCACTTAGGATAAAGGTCTCAAGTTTTCTTGCCCCCCCTGCCATGTCATTGCTTAAGCTTGGTCAAGGAGGACCTGAAATATTCGACACACCAGCGAGCTCCAGCTAATCGGAGCCGTTCTCTGGTGGCGTTGAGTGCTGGCATCCTCGCGATTCAGGAGTACTTGCTTAGCCTGGGAAGGCATTCTGGGCGATATAGTGCGTAAAGATGTAAGAGAAGAATGAGAGCGGACTGGCAATAAAAAGTGGATGTGAAGCCAAGTAAATGCTCTGGAAGATATTGAGTATTCGGAGTTAGATCTGGAAGAAAAAGGTTCAAGAATAGCGGTTCAACACAGAAATCAGGAGATCATCAGGTGTTGCTTGAAAAAGCAGTATATTTATCGAGATGTTCTGAAATATTTAGAGGGGCAATCGTGAACTATTTACTGAATTGCCACAAAGGACCACAATAGCAATTCATTGCCAGTTCTCTGGACAACAATACCTACCCGTGTGAGGGAGGTCTGTGGTTACCACTGACCCAAAGTATAAAGGTCAGAGCAACTGCCTTATATCAAATACATCAATCAACTATAATATCCTTAACATTATTAAAAGATCATGGCTATTCTATCAGCTAATACAGAGCAATATGGTGGTTTTTCAATCACGTATAGGCCACAGTTCCACTTCAGCAATTACATTGCCTCTATGTTTATAAGAAAAAAAGTTGACCTAAGGGTGTAAGACCGATGGCCATAGACCCCCCTCACCCATGTAGGTAGTTTGGCTTTTGAAAAGCAAATTTTGAAATGCAAGAGTGGTATTTTAGTCATAAAGGATATCTATGTTTTTACAAAAAGTTGATTCCCACGCCGACCTGCAGCCCCTTCGTTGAAGCCTCTCCTTTCCTCAGAGCCAAAGGCAAACTGAAGTTAAGCTCGAAGCGAGCAACAGGATGAGCATAAACAAGACCAACACCTGCAGCAACACTGGGAACACCGTTGAAGAGCTCACCAACTGCGTTTACCATGCCATTTCGGACAGCTGTCCCGGACAGCTCCTGCGTGGAACCACTGCTGGACGACTTCTTGCTGTCCTTGAGAGCAACGAGACGACCACCATTAGCAAAGAGCTGGAATCGTAGACCGGAATCAGGTCCCTTGTAGGGAACTGGAAGAAGCATGTTGACACTGCCAGCAGCAAAGACATCGCCTCCGACAGAGTCAGAACCATCGTGGGGACCAAGACCACCGAGCTTGAAACCTCGAACATCTGTTGGTCCTCCAAGTTGGAAGCGATCGTTGATTCGAGTAGGACGAAGCTTTCCCGCAAACTCATAACCAAGAGGCAATGGACAAAGCAAGCCTAGTCTCAATCCGCCACCAATCGAGATTCCTGTTCGCTCACGAATGCCTGGCAAAGGAACTGGGACGGCACCTCCGACTTCAACCTCACCCTTGGAAAAGGCAACATCACCAGCAAGAGGACCAATACCAGCTACTTCAAGTCCAGATCGGAACATGTATCCGCTTTGAGGAAGTTGAGGGTTATCACGCCTTTCCCTGTAGAATGTGTGCTTGACAGAGCTCTTGATAGAGTCACCAGCGTCTGCACGGACTGTTGGGCTGGCGTTTTCGGCCAAACCAGTGATCTGCCTCCAGATGCCCGAATACTCAACGGACTGTGTATCGCGTTGTGGATTCAGCCACGAGAATCGCAGTGTGCCACCCTTGAGGACCTCCTCATGAGAAGCCCATGGCTTTTCGGCGGCAGAAGCCACACCCTCGAGTGACAACCTCATGTCGGGGTTACTCTTGACAGGTGCGGTAAGGGTGGCGCTATAAGCTGAGCGTGTACGCGTACCAGCCTTTGCATTAAGCGTCAACATCTCAGCACCACCAAACATGTTTCGCCATAATAACGAACCATAAGCGGACCCCTCTCCATTGCCAACGTCGGTACCAGTTTGGAGCTTGAATCGAGACAGCTCCTTGACTCGGATGTCGACGTTCACATCGGTGGGGGAGGTGGAGGGATCGGTCTGTTGGGCAGAGGTCAGGTAGACTTCGGGTTGAGGTTGAAATATTTCTATAAATCAGTTAATTTGGTGTTGCGGTGAGGGTTACTAGACCCAGGGAGTTCATACGTAGGCCATCGAGCTTGTTGCTTGCGATACGGAGACTGTTGATGACATCGCCAACAGTCGAGCTTGCATTCGAGGCATCGGCAATGAGGGGTTGGAAAATGGGATCGAGGAAGTTTGTTCGCGTGTTGACCGCACCGTGAATTCGAAGCTCGTTGATTGTCATGGGCGCCAATTGCTGGTCACCAATCTGCACATCATTAGCAAACGATTAGAAGGTCAGGTTGGCAAGAGAACATACCACCTGAGCCAGACGCCGCTGTTTGGCTTCATCTTGCTCTTTTTGGAATTTGGGCTTCGATTCTGCTTCATGCAACAAAGAACCGGTGTCGGAATGAAGCTTGTTAAAGGGGTCCATAGACTGATTCATGTTAGATGATCGCTCCTCGTGTCTCAATAGTGGGATGGAATTACCGGACCCCCGGTTGACCCAGGAATTGCAGCCATTTTTGGTAGCTCAAGAGCCGAGTTTTTGCTTGCAATAGCCTCACGATGTCGATTTAAAGAGTATCGGACCACCAACTGGACCCTGACAGCCCAGCTTCCAATTAATCGCCGGTACGTACTTCCGCGAGCTCCCACCATGGGCGTGGACCCGAGACCTGTGGCTCAAAGTTGTGGCGCTTCAACTTCGTCATAGGATGGCATGTGATACACAGCCACAAACTATCCGGACCTAGCGGGACCACTGTGCCTCGCAAAGGGTGCCTCCTCCTGCGTTCCTCTCCATTCATCTCAACTTATACACTCTTCATTTGCGCTCAAGCATAAGATATCGCTGCTTTTGAGTTTTTAGAGTCAACTTTCTCTTTCACTTCACTCGAGTTTCGTGAATACTCGTTCCCTTCCTTTAATTCCCTAATTCTTTTAACCTCGACTCTACTCACGCGACCCGCAATCTGTCCCGTTCTCTTTGTCAACTTCTAATCCAACGTCAGTCAGCATGGCTAGCAAAGGCGCCACCAAGCGTGTATGCACTTCTACTCCCACCACTTGAATGTGCAATACTGATTATTGGATAGTTGACACGCGAATACAAAACCATCTCAGAGAACCCTCCTCCTTACATTGTCGCTCATCCATCCGAGTCCAACATCCTGGAGTACGTTACGTCACGCCCAACAATTGGTCGCGAGTCGACTTTGCTAACACAACTCAGATGGCACTACATCATTACCGGTCCTGAGGACACTCCTTATCATGGCGGCCAGTATTGGGGAACTCTCATGTTTCCCCCGAACTATCCTTTCGCTCCTCCCGCCATTCGCATGCACACGCCATCCGGCCGATTCCAACCTTCGTCGCGACTATGTCTGTCTATCTCCGACTTCCACCCCAAGTCATTCAACCCCGCATGGGAAGTCTCAACTATCCTAATCGGCCTTCTATCATTCATGACAAGTGAAGAGATGACAACCGGTTCCGTTTCTAGCACCGCCGCCGAACGACGCTCCCTCGCCGCTCGATCACGCTGGTGGAACTCGACTGGTAATGGCACACACAGCAAGACGTTTGCTGTCCAGAGGGGTAACATCAAGGCTGGCGATGGTGGCGCCAAGTTTCGAACAGAGTGGCCAGAGGTGGATGCTGAGAATTGGGAGTGGATGACCAAGAACAAGGTTGACCCTGTCAGTGGCACACGATTAGATTCTGATATCAGCGGATCCTGTCGACCTCAGCTTGGTATTTCAGGGACTAGCGGTCATCAAACACAGGCCGTTGTTGATGTGGTCAACCAACAAAGAGACGCCAGCACAGGATGGATCTATCGCAACAAACTTCTTGTCGCTGGTGCGGCTTTCTTCTTCTACGTCCTTGTCGCTAGACTTGTTAGCGGAGAAGAATGATTGGGGAGAGTTGTATTCGGGTAGCGCTTCTTGTTCTTCTAATTCTAGTTTTTGTTTTATTACGGACGGACTGGCGGGCGCAATAGGTTAACAAGCCAGATATCAGGACTCGCGTCTCGATCTGGCGTTTCAGGGCATTCAATGAGCGTTTACTTGATGGGGTTCAATTTGATTGTCATCAGCTCATTTGCCTGCAGCAGTTGTGATTCATCGGGTAGAGACTCTAATACATCAAACAGGTAGACCAACATGCAACAGTGCTCCTTGTATCAAGTGCGTACCCGTCCGCGAGAATCAGTTGAGGCACGTAAAGTCAGGCGGAAACAAGCAGGCAGCCGTGCTTTTGGGAGGCAGCTGGCATAAGTTTTCGTAGACAAACAAGAAGCCCAGCCTATTGTAACCCTCAAACAAGGCCTCATGCAATGAGAGTTAAATGTCGGAAGCCGGCTGATGACTGTTCGCCGTAGAAGCTCAACCTTTATTTGTTGGTTACTATCCGGCGGGCGGGAGTATTGTTGGCTGCGCTAGCCCACTCAAGGCCCCTGAAGCTTAGCGCAAATCTTGACGCGGGCACCTACGGCACGGCGGGGAGGTCTGAGGTTTGGTCTGCCTATAAGAAAAATTGTGACGAAAGCCCCAATTTTTGTCACCTTGCGACTCTCGTCTCCATCCTTTGGAAACCATTGGAAGCACCTCCTCGACATCATCATCCGGGTTTCCAGGTTGGTGAAAT